CATTACAAAGACAAAAAGTTTGACAAAAAGTCCATGATCATCTTTTGCTGTCTTTTATACAATTATTCAATTTTAGGGTAGATTATATTTAGAAGAGTTTTAGAAGAAACTTCTGAAATTCTTTACATAGGCCACAAACAAAAGCAAGGTATCAGCAGCAATCAATTCCTTATGATTTGTAGTTTGTTTTCTGCAGCAGTTCAGCTTCATTTAGTGACATAATCCCTTGCCATCACTTGGTACATTTTCCCTTGTAAACAAGCCTTTGGGGTCTTAGCAGAAATGATAATTTGTTCCTGACCAGTCCATACTAACAACCAGGTGCAGAAGAAAAATTAATGGAGATTGTTAACAAGGAAAGTTTAAAGGGTGCATCCTCTTGCCAATACTATGATGTGACATACAATTAAGGAAGTTGTGGTACCATATGTAACACTAAATAAAGACTCTGATACTCAGACTAACACCAAAGCCGCATTTTTCACTCCTATCATTAAAACTGCACTGTTACCTGGCAAAAAAAACTAAACAAATCCAAGGGCAAACAGAGATGACAACTGCAAAATCATAATTTAAAGAGTTCCTTTTAATACTAATAGTCTATTAGATGGGTGAGCACAGCTTTGACTAGAGGAATAAAAAAAAAAAAAAAAAGGGCGAAGATAAGGAAAGGCCTTGATACCATCTTCCCTACAAAGAAAGGAAGATGTACCAGTTAGTTACATAACAAATTCTGACTTTATAAATGAGAACACAACTACCCTGAAGGAGAACATGACATTTTATTAGGCTCTTTCTTGCAATTTCCTAACATTACATATAGACAACTTCTTGAGAAGAAAATTAAATTTCTAACAATGTAACTTTAACAAATGACAGAGGGAAAAACTTCTGTAATAACCTAATTAAGATTTATAATTGCATACTGCAAGTACTTATACTCACAGAATGCCAATTATCTAATTGGCAGAACTCATACTGGCTGACATATCAGATTTGATACACAGTGAGAAAAAGCAGACATTCATTTACATAACAATTAGAAATGAGCAGAACAACCTGGAGAACCTCTTAGGCTCTTAACCTTTTCCTCACAATAGATTTTCCAGACAAACACATTTGACTCAACAGGGAAAAATTAACAACGGCATCTGGAAATATTACTCATGTACCACTAATTAAAGGAAAACGACAAGATCAATTAAAGTGCTTCGTATTTCAAGCTCAGTGAAGTCTCCTCTGCTTTGGAGAGGTACCACTCTACACTGGTAGGTCCACCAATAATGAACCTATCCTCAAGTACCAAAATTAGCAAACTGTTTTGGAAAGCACTGAGTAAAAGCAAACTGGGCAACCTCCCATTCAGGAATGATAGGCACAGCATTGATAACACTTACCAGCAAAAAGGGAGAGCTTAGCTTTCAACATGGTGGCAAATTCTACCCGTTCTTACAGTTAGGTACTACACCATGCTAAGCTAATAATTGACATGTTATCATTCCAAATTCTGTTTATATTTCCTATTAGAGACTAAAATATTCCTATCACTCTTAAGCATCTTTCAGTATTGTTTGCGTTCTACCAAGATACACAGATAATAACTGGAGGAATAAGAGAGAAATCTACTTTGCTAAATAAATCATTAAAAGTTTTCAATATCCCAAAATAAGGACATTACAGAACACTGTAATGCTGATATTATAAGAAGTGACAAAAGCACAGTAAGCAAGCTGATTATTTCCATGTGTATATATATACACCTATATATATATATATAGGTATGAGAAGGGGAAGAGGTACAATTTTAGCCACTTTGGTCTCAGGAAATACAAAGAATGCTAAAGATCTGTATCTGAGACATTGGTGGGAGCCCACATCCCTTCTACAATGGCCTAAAAAAAAGTTAGACTGCTGCTCCTGACCATGTTCACTAGGGACTATTCTGGGGAACAAGGGAACATCTAATAAAGCCAAACTACATCTACTGTACTAGCGGAGTACTCTTGAAGCTCTAAGTTCACAAACAAGCCATTAAGATTGTAGACAGACTGGAGTATGACTGAACTAGACCAGGAAATTAGGACATTCGCAAATGTACTCATCAAGGTTGCCATTGCTGTCACCTCTCATGTCTGACACCCTAGCTCAGATATGATTCTCCGCCACCGAGCTTCACGTCCTTTCATGTTTTTCAAAAAAAAACCCCTCACTAGAACAGCTATTGCGTGTCCATGCATACTTGTGTGCTGAGCATGGAGACACCATGACTCCACAAGTGTACCCTTAATGCCTAAACCTTGTTACTACTGTTATATACATCAGTTTAAAGACACAGGTCTTTATTTTTATGAAGTACCAAGAGCTTTTAATAAATGAATGAAAATGCATGTGGAAAAATATCAGTGGCAAACACGCAGCAGGAGTACAAAATGTGGATCCATATATCAGACACAAAAAATGCTAACATTGAATGGTCAGACACAGACAGCAAATACAGATAATTAGGTAGCATTTAGCTTATGCAAAAACCCCAAGTGATACCAGGAAATTATTGCTAAGTCAAAAGGTGCTGCAACACATTAATCAGGAAAGAAGCAGTTATTGTTCTTTTTTTCATATGAATTTCGAAAGACTAACACAATGTGCAGCTGTGTGTAGGAAGATAAACAGGATGCTGGATCAAAAGACTATATGCATACATGATAAAATGCAATGGTACTGTTGGTACTAAAGACATGACATTGTATGTATCTCTGGATGATACTGCCTAGGCAAGAAAGCTATAGTTTGGCTAATGAACTGTCACTTTATAACCTGCTTAGTCCAAATAATTGGCCTGAGAACCACTGTGAACTACAACTGCTCTGCAGCAATTCCCATGTTATCCGCTCTAAAATTTTTCACCCTTAACGCTGTCAAAGGTGCATTATTTCTAACAGGAAATTAATTTTGACATACTGGTTTTAAATTAATAATGATGGAAGCTTTAGCTTCCCCTAAAAAGCAGAAAGTCCCAAGTCCACATATGTATAAACATGACCACTAACTAGAAAAGTACCTAAAAGCAATGAAGTAATACTATAGAGCTCAGAAGGAGAATAAAAAAAGTCACTCCTTAGTATTTTCCCCAACATTTTATCCGTAAAGCAACTCTGAGGGAATAATGAGAATACTCATTATCTCCATTTTTCGCTAGTACTTTTGTCTATTTCCTCCCTTTCCTCTCTAAAATAAACTGATGCTTTTGGGACAGCTCCAGCTATAGGCTAGAGGCAGCAACTGGCAAAAAAAGCAAAATCCTCAGGAAGTGCTAGACACAGTGCAGATACCTGTTTTCCCTATAGCAGAATCCTGACAATCTGAGCTTGCTGCTGGTACCACCCCTGACCATCGTACCACCATCAGCTTGGCCTTCCCAAGTGACCCTGCCTCATGGGCATCCTCGGGAGACAAAATTCTGTTCTCTCTCTGCAGCTGAGAAATTTGAACTGGCTTTTGATGTCCAAAGTAATAACTAATCAAGGACCTGGTTAGTGAGATAGTCCAACAGAAAAAAATTATGGTTTTTTGAAAAGATTTATATGAATCAAAATATTTTGTTTAAATACTGTGTTATATTTAAAACATTTTTGCTTAAACATTGCAAACGGACTTGCAAGAGAAGCCTGCTTTTCAAAAATTTTATTTTTAACAACAGTTTCAGGTGTGAGATGCAGCAAGCATATGTAATATAATCCCTATGAAATGGCAAAACCAAAGTGAGTCACGTTGTTCAGTAGTAGAAGAAACAATCACTTGACAGAATCAATTTCACACATTCTGTCTGAAGGTATGTTTGGCCCTGGCAGTCTATCAGTCATATAGTAAAATTTTCATAGCTTTGACATAAATATGCCCACTAAAGAGAGGCTTTTTATTTCAGAAGCGGCCTTCTTAAATGATTTGAGTATCTGAAAAATAAAGCTGTCATTTGCTGAAGGTTTTATTATGTTAAGGACTGCCAGAAATAATTGGCTCTTACAGGAGGAAATTTTGAGCAGCTGAAGGTAGTTCAAAATAACACGATTATCTAAACCAATTTCTTTTTTCCTTCTTCTCTTTAAAAGAAACTTCACAAGAAGACAGACATGTAGTTTAGCTCCTTAAATTTTAGCTAACACCTTTAAGAACATTTTGAATATACTCCTAAGTAATATAACATTGCTACACTTACTGGAAAAACCAAAAGCTTTCTCATAAAGCAGCTGCTAGGTTCACCTTTGACTAGATGTTTGTCCTGATGATCTGGGACAAAAAAAGGACAGCTCCTGTGCACATTAAAAGCAATGAAGCCTCTAAGTTTTACATATAAGAGGTCTCTGATTGTTTAGGTAGTGACTACCTATTCTAGAGCTTTGCAGATACTAACACAGCTTTAGGATTTGTGAGCAACATCTAAATTCCCATTAGACAAGACTTTTCAGGAAATCCAGCAGACTAAATATAAAGTCATGCAGTCTTGTCTTCCTGACGTTCAAACAGACAATAATAATCTGAAGATAAGTACAGACTGAACTCTCACCTAAACATGTGTTATACAGGAATTCTAGTAGTGACGATATAGAAGTCAGTGTAACACTATTCAGCATTTTCAATAAACGTTTTCATTTTGCACGTATATTCAGCAATGGTGACGGCTAGAGAATTGACAATAGTAAAAGCTGCTTGCTATAGAAATCTGCGGTGTAAAAAGTGTTTCACAGCCTTTCACAGCAACTCTGTTTCCTCACTTTTAGTAAATTACATTTTCCATGAAATAAAAGAAAGGTTACTATATTGCTATGAAGTCAAATAAAAAGTTACTGTAATATGGCATGACAATTCTTTTTAAGTTTCTCTTGGCAAAAAGGCAATAAAACTACTTATATTGGAATATTTATCCACAGAATTGTAAAATACCTTAAAAACCACCTTAAGGGGCCTTGGAACATTCTTGTTTAAGGCATTGTACATTTGCTTACCTATTCAATGATGGCAGAAGCGAAAGCAATGCCAAAGCAGAAAGTTTTCTTCTTTCTGGCTGAGTGATGTTATCCATCCTATCAACCCACATTTCAATCATGTTACCAAGGATTTGGTCCAACTGCAATGGGGAAACAGAACGTTCCTTTTCATTTATGAGTACATCACCATATTTAGAAAGTAATTTATTTTAATTTTTCTACCAACTGAATACATTATTCAATCTGGAAAGACCTTATTCAGTTATACATACCTAACAGAAGTAGCAAGCACATGTATTTTTAAAATTTTCTATTGACAGTGCTTCCAGGCCCTGAACCACCACCCCACCATTAATTGTAACCTAAAAGTTAGAAATGCATTAAATTCATGGACAGAGCACTGATTCAGAACAGTGAATTACTCAGTTTTCCTGTAACAGGTTAATACACACAAAGCATGTGAACTTACTCTGCTTTACCTTCACTGGTGGCAAATAAAAAGACAAGACTTGTCTTTACCTGTTTTAAAACTGTACTATACCTAAGGATAAGAAAATTACTAAAATTTCACTTAAAGACATAATAGAACACTTGTAGTGAAAGAACATCAGTAACCTCATCAGTGACACTGGAGCACACTGAACCAGATACTCCCAGAAACTCACCAGAGAATGATTTGACCATTATCCCTGGTGCAATACCCATCAAGATGGCACAAAGAAACAAACTGCCATACTGTGCGTACTAAAGAGATTTATATGGCTTATTGTGGAATGCAGCAGGAAGATTAAATTATCTTGTATAAAACTTTTAACGAGATGTTTTAAGGTAATTGCGGGAACACGTAAAACTTGTTACAGGATGTTCAGGGGAAGGACCACAGGCGGGGAATGGGCCTCTTTCCAAGGTGGACTGGGGAGGAACAAGCATGGAAAACAGAGGGAAAAGTTCTTTCAGGTCAAAAGAATGCAAGATTTCCACATGCAATCCAGCTGAAATACCTAGACAAAAATTCTTACCTCCTGTCCCAATTCACATGCCATCTGGTTCAAAAGTAATGAAAAAAAACTTGCATTTTGTAGCAGAATTCTACCCACGATCCCTAGATAAGTAGACATCACCACTGGATATCTCTGAAACAGAAGTAAACCAAAATAAAGAGGGCTTAGTTTAATGAAGTGAAAAATACTTAACATATAGAGCAGAAATACATGGAAAATACTTGCATGCATCCTTTATGTATTTAATTAAATTTGAAATTTTAAATTGTAATTTAAAAGCCTCTAAGAACACAAGACTGAGCAAGCAATCATTAGTAGAGTTTCTTGATTCGTACAATAGGAAAACTATGGCCATCTCAGTTTCCTCCAAACAGCCAAGACAACTTGCAAGGTGATTTTATTTTAAATTTAAAAGACTGCATCTTAAGGAATAAACAGTATATTGTACTGTTAAAAAGTTACTTTCAAAGTTGATTATGGTTTAAAGTTACTGTTTACAATTTTAGTCACATTAATAAGTGCTTAGTATTTCTGAAGTTATGTATTTCACTGAGAGAAACTATAATACATTTGCCAATAACTAATTTGGAAGTGTCTCAAAATTAAGTGGATACAGTAATAAGCTCATTAGTTTATTACCTTTTGTAATTACTTTTAATTTTAGAAGAAGCTACAGATTTCTTTGTATTAAAGTCGGCATCTAACAATATAACAATAAGTATTTTGTAGAATTGCCTACTTGAAAAATAAAATGCCAACATTTACCTGAAAACGTTAACCCAAATTAATACCTTTTTGAATAGGGAGCAATTAATTTAGTACACTCTTAAATCAGAAGGCATTTTAATAATCTGCTCTCCAGTTCTGTCTCGTCTTAAACTGCAACTGTTCAAACAAATTGTCTTCTGTACAGAAAAAGTGCATTGCTAAGTAATATTACTTGGCTTAATAATGGAAATATCTTATTTAACTTAATAATAATGGGATCCAAATATTGATTTTTGAAAGTCTTCAACTCTGAAAAAGCAAAGGTTTCATTCAAAAAAGTCAAAAGCATAGGGAATTCCACCCACTGATTCTGCTAATTAAAGTATTGTTTCTTCTCCTGCTAGTACCGCAGGGTTCACACAGTTAAAGCACACTGGATTTTACTCCTTCTTATCTAACATGGAAATCTGTTGAAGGCAAAGAGAGAGAAAAGGAAGAACTTAAGACATCTAAGCAAGCAATATCTTAAAGCCTCTTCTATCTCACATAAAGCATTTTCACATCCTTCAGGTCTTCATATTAGATGTATCAGTTAGAAAAGAAGGTCAAGTCAATCCTCTCCTTGTCCGGTTTGTTTTTCTCTGGTGCAAGTACTCTTAAAATGGAGTGGTAAAAGGATCTTTAAAAAGCCCCAACAAAAAACTCCAACACCTACAAAGGCTCTAACTACACACTGTATCAGTGTTAATAGTGAAGGAATGGCAGAATGAAATTTGTGTTATTAAAATCAACACTAGATGACAAAATAAGTGATGGAGATGTTGCTTTAACTCTTGTGCTACTATATTACTTTTACAGGCTTTTAAAACGACTGTAAAAGATCTATCAGATGCTCTTAAAACAAGAGACAATGCAACGTCAGTATAAGAAAACTGGGACAGATAACGGAAGGTACTTTCCTGTTCAAAGGGAAAAGCAGTTATACAATAACTCACCTCCCCATCTAAAATCCCCCTGAATATTGACGGTAGAAGTGGTTGAAACATTTGAGGACCCAAAACAGGGTTTACTTTTAGGACATTTTCCACTACCTTAAGAACAAAAGCAAATTAGACCATTAGTAAAGTACATTTAAAAATCTTAACTGAAGCTTTAAAACTACATATACTGGTCTATACATAAAGTCCTGGTAGAATGTCTATCAGTAAATACCAGCAAAATGCAGGACTGCTGAAAAGTATATTCTAGTGAAGTACCCTGCAGACCTGATCTGCGTAACAGACCTGATGAAAACTGACATGCCAAGTGAAACCCACCTAGCCAAGCATTTCCTCACCAGCCTCCTCCTGGCCCTGGCAAAGCTGATGAGGTGGGTTGGAAGAACCTTGATAAGGCTGCAGGGAAAGCAGCTTGATGAGGTGGATTTGCAGGGAGGAGTACCAGCAGTTTAAAGCTTATTTCCATACCTTTGTCCTGTCACTTTTTTGAAGAACCATTAATTAGGACTACCATCTCTTTGCAAGTGATCAAGTAACCACAAATGCTCTCAGATGTGCTATTCTCAGTACCCTGCTCTGGTTCCCCATTTTTACATTCTTTACACTTTGATTCTCAGCTCTTCCCCTCTCCCTCTCCCCTGCCATGAGCAGTTCCTTGAAGTAATTTTTTTCCCCCCATGGTGTTCAGTTTTTATTTCGCCCAGCTGTTTGGGCTCTCCCCTTGTACCAAGATGGAGAGGGAAGAGGCTGTGAGAATAACAGGTCAATACCTCTTTGCTCCTATGGGTAGTAAGGACAGAGATCACACACCTATACGCTGATGTGTATAAAGCATGTAAAGGTTTCATAAAGGTACCTCTCTTAAACACTCTTCTCAGTCTCCACCTACTTTCAGCTCAGAGGGTCTTCCACAAGGAACTACTCGTCTGTGCTCTTGTCCAAAATCAGTCCAAATCAGTGTTTTTCAACCTGATCATTTATTTACTGTTCTAATGTCAATTTTCAATCCAGCCAAAGCTGTTTGTACGAAAATATTTCAGAGAACACTCCTGGGTGTTTCTGTTCCCAATATTTATCTTAGGGGTTTTTTGTTTAACAAGTCAGCATCATGATGCCTGACAAAACACTTTCCTTTTTGTAAAAATATTCACATGGATTATAGCTCAGTTATCCCTCTGGGAGCAAGCAGGCTTACTAGGAAGGTGTTCAAAGTATACTGGACAAACCTTGTGTACAATGCAAGGCCACACTGCGAGCCATGTGGATAAATTATACTATATTAGCATCATCATTTCATTTTAGTACTTCGAAAAACCTCTAGCTATTTAAGCAGTTGTTGCTTAAATAGCAAATTGCAACAGAAACTTATGCCAAAAGTAAAGACCTTTGAATACTGTGTCATGGTACAAATGCAGGTACGCTCCACAAAGAAATGTGATGTAGAGCACATACAAACAACATTCAGTAAAGACTGGAAAAGCTTGGCTCTAGACCTGTTAGGTTCTAGCAATCATACAGAAATGCGGGGCGGGAGGAATGTCATCTCGATCATTTGGTGCTTATTTAATCATCAAATCACCTTAACAGTTTTCATAACAATACATGTATTTATGCAGACTTGTTACGTAACCCTTATCTTGTCAGTTTTTCAAATGTGCAGGTACTACTACACTAATTGAACTATTTTTCTTATTGGTATTGAATACTGAAAAGGAAAACTAATATTAAAAAAATAGTAAATATAATATTATTACTGTTTGTATTAGCAAAGGTATCAATACTGGTTGATAGGGCACAGACAAAACTCAGATTTGGATGGCTAGACACAGCAATTAGATACTACTTTTGCATATTTTGATTAGAAACACTGAAAATGAACCTAGATTATTAACACAAGTATGATTTTGACTTTAAGTTGAATCACTTATTAATGTTGCATTTTCATCAGAACAATGAATTTTTTTCTGAATTCTGAACCAACTGAATTAGGACAACTCTTAAAACTCATTAATCAGATGGATTTTGCCCTTTTATTTTGTAATTAGAAGAGTTAAGTAACTTTTGTGCTATACTGTGGTACCTTTCTCCATTCTAAAATTCAATTAGAAATAAATAACTTCGATCAGCTTTCTACAACTTCCATGAGTCCACCGATAGCAAAAGATTAAATCAAGTTGCTTTGACCCAAATACAATCTTTGTTCTGCAACTCAGTGCTCTCAATATTTTCTATACATAGCATCATCTTCATAATGCAGTGATTGGTCATCTGCCTGTTTAAGTGTGCTATTGCCAGGCTGTAGAACAAACTTTTCATGAAGATCCAAGCTCTCACTAACCACCTTTCTCTAGTAATCTAGAAAATAATCAAATGGGAAAGATATCAGGGACTCTTAATCTAAATCCATCTATACAAAGAGGACTCAAATGAGCTTAGAACTCATTTGCCTAAGGACATTTTGGAATCACGTGAAGTAATTGAAAGCATTTACAGAGAGGATATAGGAACACAGTGTTCGATGATTGTCTTTTGGGTTGCTCTATTTAAGGCTATACTAACCTTCTCTTGGGAAAAAGTATTACTTTTAAAAAATACATGTGTGTATATACACACTCTCTATACACACACTTTGAATATGTAGTTTAAAACACCACTGACTCCAATGTCAATGTGTGCTAAATAAATTGTTTTCTTGTACGTCCTACATTCATCATACTTGAAACCTGACAAAACACTAGGAAGAATAAAGGATGTACAGAGCTGAATATCTGGGTATTATTTTTATTACACTCTACCTTCAAAACTTGAACTTGACCTTCAGTAGTTATGTCCTCCAAAAGTTCACAAAATGACTGGCATAAGTCAGCAGCGTACATCTGAAATCAAATGAAAAAGAAGGTATTATACTGTCCTGGTTTCAGCTGAGATAGAGTTTATTTTCTTCATAGCAGCTAGCATGAGGCTATGGTTTGGATTTGTGCTGGAAACAGTGTTGATCACACAGGGATGTTTTAGTTACTGCTGAGCAGTGCTTACACAGAGCCAAGGCCTTTTCTGCTCCTCACACCACCCCACCAGCGAGTGGGCTGGGGGTGCACAAGGAGTTGGGAGGGGACACAGCCGGGACAGCTGACCCAAACTGATCAAAGGGATATTCCATACCATATGATGTCATGCTCAGCATATAAAGCTGGGGGAACAAGGAAGGGGGGGGATGTTCAGAGTTATGGCGTTTGTCTTCCCAAGTCACCGTTACGCGTGACGGAGCCCTGCTTTCCTGGGGATGGCTGAACACCTGCCTGCCCATGGGCAGTGGGGAATAAATCCCTTGTTTTGCTTTGCTTGTGTGTGTGGCTTTTGCTTTACTTACTGAGCTGTCTTTATATCAACCCACGAGTTTTCTCACTTTTCCGATTCTCTCCCCCATCCCACCAAGGAGGAATGAGTGAGCGGCTGAGCTGCTGGCCGGGGTTAAACCACGACATATGCAAACACGTTTTATATCTACACATACATTTCAAAACTCAACACATTAGGGATTACATACGTCCAAAGACCCGGCTTCCCTCAAAGTTGGTATTTGCTAAAATGCTTGTCTTTCCTGAACTAATTAAAATCTAATCTAAGCATTTTGGGTTTTTTTAACATTGCAGGTTTTTTAAACAATTAATCTCAAGAAATTTTTTAATCAAAGTGTGAGAACAAGGTATAATATCTCTAGTTCAATTCTTACCAGAATTTATGATCATAATTTTAATATGGTAGGACAATTAAAGTAACTATTACTACCTCGCATAGAACCTTTTCAGGTACCAAAGTACTAAGCCAATCCACAAAACAATTCCAAACAGTAATCTTTCTGAAATCTGATTTTAGTGTCCATCATGTGCCATAAAGAGCTAACATTAGAACAATATGCTTGTATACACATAAATGAATAAGAGGCTAAATGTTTGTGGGTACAATGTTTTCCAACATGACAGAAAAAATTTTTTTGCCAGTAGGGAACTAAGGTGCTAATATGAATCTTTTACATACCTGTAAAAATTCAGATGATGATAAGAAAATATAAGCATTGATGATCTTAAAGCAATTTTTTAGGTTTTCTGAACTAAGCTCTGGAAAAAAAAGAAATCAAAGTTCAGAACCTCATCACCAAACTAAAGTATGACTAAAATGATTCACTTCCAAAAGTCTTTTTCCCTCATGCAGCTTTTAAAGTGCCAGATGACTAAATTATCTTAGATTCAGTACCATTCAGGTTCTGTCCCCTGCCAGAGACAATAACAAAAGAGAGATAACAGCTTTCATATTCCCAAATGGAAGCAACAAGAAATACTACAACCTCAAAAGCCAATGCTAATGATAAAAAAGTCAAGTTTTACGATGTGATAATGGCCTAAGAAGATATTAAAGCAGAACAAATAAAACACGTACTTAAGAGACCTGCAATTACTGATAAATGATCTCTCACATTTGAATCAGTACATGCTGAGTAGAAAGACTGAAATAAAGATTGCAGTTCTGCTCTTCTGACCCAGGTTCCACGTCGAATGGCATTGAGCTTTTGGACTGAAACACACTGAGCTTTAGGCTATATCTTGAGTATTTCAGTAAGGACAGCATATCAGTTTAAGAGACAGATACACACAGGAGACGGTATACAGCAGCAGTTTGAAGAGAGAAAAAGACAGACATGTCCTCAGGCAGTACCTGTAAGACCTTTTTTAAGAAAAATTGCCCCAAAACATCTCAAAAACACTCATAGCAAAACAAAAGGTTTCAAAGTGTTACATGGAGGTTGATACTACTGCAGAAAGCAAACAGCCCTCATTGTCTGCAAACAAAACAGAAGACCAAAAAAACCTCATGGGGCTTGCCAAATTTTCTTAAAACAAATTTTCTAGTTTGAGAGACAGACTATTCTTGGTAAAGTAAGTGGACTTCTGCTCCACCACTTTTAATTAATATTCCAATAAAATCATCATGGAGAGCCAACAGAAAAATACTTTCATGTAAGTTTTAAATAAAATTCCTTACCAGATTAAACTAACACCAGCAGCTGGCTAAGACCCAGTATGTTTTGCATGGCTTACATGAATGCAGCCCATATGAAAGTATGGCTTACACCTAGTGATGCTTATATAGAGAAAATTCCACAAAAAAACCATCACATTACAGAAACTATGTTTTTCCATTATAACATCAAAAAGTTCTGGGGAATTTTAGCATTTTCTCTTCTTTTCCCTCCCATTAACAGGAACATTAATGTTCCTGTTACCTGACATGGCCATTGGACAGCTTTGAAAGCATGATTAGTTTCAGATCTCAGTGCTTGGCCAGGTCATGTCTTGTTATCACTTATTTTGAATACTTATGTATCTTTACTTGAAAAGAGATGATGTTTCACCTATTCACCCAATATCCTCATCAAAAGACTCCAATACATCTATAAATTAGTTTTAGTAGCACATTAGCAGTGTTACACATTTCTTGAAGTTACTGCATTCTCCTTAGAAGTCTGCAGTTGGTTTGGGGTTTTTTTTTCCTTACTGGATACAACCATGTTTTAAGTTTCAGACACTGATGCAGTAGACAAATTGTAAAGAAATAGTCACAAAAACATGAAGTGCTGCCAGGTTTTCCATAACTATCCATTCTGCAGTTCTGTGATAACTGACACAAAGGTAATAAAGTACAAGTAACAAAACTGCAAGTAGTAAGTTATTTCAGGCTAGAAGGAAAAAAATAGGTAAGACGGATGTTGTGAAAACAACAGGATTTCAGGTCATTCATCTATGCATAAAGCTCAATGTTTAGTAAAAGCATTTTTCTAGAAAAACACTACCATCAACTGATTACATTTAAAAACCAATTGTGCATCAATTCCCTTGCCAGGTTTCCCTGAATTAAACATGTATTTTTCTAAATTAACTAACGCTCTCCTTTACATTTTGTCTGGGATCAGAGGAATTATGACAGTAACCTGCTTTTTGCCATTACCTTTACAACTACAGCACAGGCATATTACACCTCATGTTTCTTGAGATAGTTATGTCTTAACCTGAAATTGTATCAGACTCAGTTGTCATTTTAAGCAATCTCAGTGCAAAAATGCATCCATCCTCAGAGAATTAATGTATTCCTCCATTTCACATTATTCGGTCTGCTGCACGGAGAGATGGATTATAGAGCCTCTGAACCTTTCTATAGGACAAGTATATTACAAAAGAATTTAAACATTAGCACCAGTACTGATATGAAAACCAAATCTGACAATTATGCTGTGAACAATTATTGTACATCAATGACAGCACCATAATCTTTGAAGGTCAGTTATGCAAATGAAATCAAGCCTTGGTATCAAATGCAACATTCTACTCCTGTATCTTTAAGATTTAAGGATAGCATTGATTACTTTAAAAGACAAATCTAATGGATTTGTACAACTCCTCTGACATCCAGTTCCAAAAGCAGTAGTATCCTGAAATGGATGTAAAAAGCTCTTTTCAGAAGGACAAATGTATCTGGAAAAGAACAATTATATATTATTTTCAGACTACTTAGAAAAATAAAAACTATTTCTCTATTTTTCCCTTTTCAGTTGACTGTTAAAATTAAAGAGATGTCACGTCACTGACATACCTAAGGTAACATATGCCACAGGCCTGTGACATGGCCATGACAAAGGCATGTTCAAATAATGAAAAACCTAGTATGAATGAATCACTTAAAAATAATCCTGAACTAAATCTTAAGCCAATTTTTTATGCATCACACATTGGAATTGCTTGCCAATAGATAAGCATGTTTCAAAAAAATCTCCTAAAAGATGCAGGAGAAGCAAAGGCAAGCAATTACTTCTCTGGGCTGTAAATTTAAATCAGGAATGAAAGTCAAGGAACATTGAAGGTTTATTCTTATCAATATGACAATCAGCTCTGGCAGTGTCCTGGTTTTGGCTGGGATAGTTAATTTTCTTCCTAGTAGAAGGTATAGTGCTGTGTTTTGGATTTAGGATGAGAGTAATGTCGATAACACACTGATATTTTAGTATAAGCACTGCTCAGCTACAACTAAGTCACGGACTTTTCAGCTTCTCATACTGCCCTGGCTGTGAGGAGGCTGGGAGTGCAGAAGAAGCTGGGAGGGGACACAGCCAGGGCAGCTGACCCAAACTTGCCAAAGGGATATTCCATACCATAATGCCGAACAATAAAACTGGGCTGGGGGGGGGCAGGCGTTGGCCAGGGGGCGACACCCACTGCTGAGTTACTGGCTGGGCATCAGTCAGCACGTGGTGAGCAACTGCATTGTGCATCACTTCTTTGTATATTCTTTTATCATCATCATTTTCCCTTCCTTTTCTGTCCTATTAAACTGTCTTTATCTCAGCCCATGAGTTTTACCTCCCTCCCTCTTCATTTTCTCCCCCACCCCACTGTGGGCAGACGTGAGCGAACGGCTGTGTAGTATTTAGCTGCCTGCCAGGTTAAACCACAACAGGCAGAGAAAGCACTAGAGAAGGCAGCATAGAGGCCTTCAAAGTTCAGGTTTCTAAGGTACTACTGGTGGGCCAGGAAGCAATGATGTACAAGCAAGTGCTTATGCAGTACATAGTCTTGGCAAGCATCTTAAGAGCTCTTAAAAAAAACAGTTGTGAAACAGATGACATATTCATTTTCAGTCATGTAAACATGCATTCACAACAGGAAAAAACCCCACAGCAATGCCCTTCTATTAAGTGATATTCATAGCACATTTCAAAAACTACCAGACATAACTTGCACACAGTACATCTCATTCATTTTTATGTCACTTTGCTGAAGAAGACATTCTATTATAACACAGAAATCATAAATCAAGTTTTGTACTTTGATGTTTAAGCTAAACTCCCAAATCCAGTGGGAAACACTGGATGCTCCTGAATCAGAACCAGCAATCTATCACTGCACACCTCCTGAATTTTCTGAAAAAATATTGTGTACAGTCACAATCAAGTCCCACAGGGCCTTGTCGACAAAGGCAATTACTGCAAAGCAAAAGCTGTAACACAACGAATAACCAACAACCTGAACAATACACAATCCAGCCTATTGCCTGTACCTCCTTAAACATAACCATACTGTCTACTTTTATATAAATCAGCGAGACCTGGACAGACTAGAGAATTGGGCAAAGAGGAACCATATGAAATTCAGTAAGGGCAAGTGTAGGGTCCTGTACCTAGGGAAGAACAATGCCACGCACCAGTGCAGGTTAGAGGTTGACCTGCTGGGAAGCAGCTCTGCAGAGAAGGACCTGGGAGTCCTGCTGGACAACAAGCTCTCCATGAGCCAGCAGTGTGCCCTCGTGGCCAAGAAGGCCAATGGTATCCTGGGGTGCATTAAGAAGAGTGTGGCCAGCAGGTCAAGGGAGGTTATCCTCCCCCTCCACTCCGCACTGGTGAGGCCACGTCTGGAGTCCTGTGTCCAGTTCTGGGCTCCCCAGTTCAAGACAGACAGAGAACTTCTGGAGAGAGGCCAGCGAAGGGCTGCAAAGTTTATGAAGGGACTGAAGCATCTCTCGTATGAGGAAAGGCTGAGAGAGCTGGGTCTGTTCAGTCTGGAGAAGACTGAGAGGGGATCTTACCAATGCTTGTAAATATCTATGGGGTGGATGGGGAAGGGGCCAGACCTGAGAAGAGTCAATGGTGCCCAGTGACAGGACAAGGGGCAATGGGGCACAAACTGCAACACAGAAAGTTCCATCTCAATGTGAGAAAAAACTTCTTTACCCTGAGGGTGACCGAGCACTGGAACAGGCTGCCCAGAGAGGTTGTGGAGTCTTCTTCTCTGGAGATACTCAAAAACTGCCTGGATGCGATCCTGTGCAACATGCTGTTGGTGATCCTGCATTAGCAGGGTGGTTGGACTAGTTGATCTCTAGAGGTCCCTCCCAACCGCTACCAATCTGTGAATCTGTAAATGGTTATCCATATTATTTTCCACAGTCCCTTTGGGTCTGAGTCATCAAAGCTGCATTGTACCTATTTACATACATTGTTCAATTCCCACAGAAGTTTTTTCCCTATTACTGCGTATGAATACATCTAAGAAATAACATTTATTCAAGACTTAAAAGTGCTATAATCTGGCCACGAAGAAGATAAAACATCTTCTCTCCCTTTCTAGTTTGATGACTCCTTGCCACATCTGTTTCCTCCTCAGCAGGACGGGGTCTGCTATATACCTCTAATATCCAAAAATCTCATGTCTGAACAACTTCTCTCCCTCCCTTCCAGCTCTTTTAGTTCAACCATTTTTACCTACAATAGGACACTTTTTCTGAAGGACTTAAATGCTGATGGAGCAGTTAAACACACCAGAAAACTAGTTATGTTACCTGTATATTAGAGTAATTCCATTCAGTAAGAATAAATTCAGAAACTAAAGGTCAGAAGGTTTATATTCCTTACACTCTATTTTCAACAATATCATTTTCTGGAGCACCTTGTTGCTAGTTCCCCACCTTACTCCGAAAGACAAAAGCAAGGCAGTCATCTACTCAGAACTTCCCTTCACCATATCTGCCGTTTGGCTTCCACTTTGATATCTTAAGACTGAACTAAGAACCAGTCTCAGAGAGATTTTCTGGTTTGCTCTCAGATGGTTAAGGCACACAAGACTTTGAAATTTTGAAACTTTAAATTTGAGGATCTCAAAATTTGAATGGATTCCTGCATTTGTCCAACTGAAAACAGCAGAGTTCCCAGTTAGAACACCTTGTCCTGACAGCTACATCACTGTGGTGAGAAGGACAGGAAGTGTTTGTTCTTAAGTGCTGAAAGTTTCAGGTGAATACTGCCAACTTGTATACTGCAGAAACTGTACTACGGAACTAAGACTGAACGGTTATTTAATTAACGTGCACAGCTGATCATCATTGATCAATATATTTCTTCTGCAAGGAGTTGTAGCTTAAACTGTGCTGTTGCACTGGATTTATGTGAAGTATCACTTCTTCAAATATACTGAACAAATGAAGTAGCTGTTTTGAGGGGTACTGGACAGCAGTATTGTACTGTTTTTACCGCTACCAAGTTTTAAAATAAGGTTAGCACTAATCTAATACTGAAGTTCTATTTCAACATCACAGTGCCATGTCTATGTTGTGTGCAGCCTGTCCAGCTATATTCTCCTGATGTAAACAGAAGAGAATTGCAGGCAAAGAGCATACCAGAATGATTTCCATTTTCTGGCAAAATATGCACCACTTCGGCTTACAGCAATGAAAATTTTTGATTAACATGACACTCAGAAAAAAGCTCAGGAAGTCAAGTAGTACCAGAAATCTATAAGAAGAAAACAGTCTATGATTACACATCAGCTGCTGTGTTTTTGCCACTCACCCCCCCATCCCCAATAGAAAAACCAATTTGATATAAGTGTGTCTGAAGCCTCACCTTCAGGAAAACCTTCCTAGCTTAACAGTACTACTTGCTCTACCAGCACCATACGACAGCTTTCATTTTTCAGAAGGAACATTCTCTTGAGGATATATTTCTTCCAAAGGACAGTATCATTATTCTCCAGGATTCATTCATGAAGTAAGGAAATTGTTACAAATGTAGAATATTCCTGAATACCTCCACCTTTTGTTAGAAAAGTCTGCCACAGTTTCCATTCATATTCGTCTCTACCCTGGAAAGTATTGCATGAGGACTAGGGACAACAGGGTGGGGAGAAAATAGCAGCAGCAAATGCAAGCAAGCCACACAGTATTTCTGAATTTAACTCAAGCAGATCAGTGTGTCAACTACGAAAATCACAACCATTTGTGTAGTACAAGCTTCCCGTGGCAGATACTATCTACTGCTAACACAGAACAAGGAGGAAGGGTACATGTGTAGATAAGAACAAAGACAAAAGGTATTTGGCAGGTACAGAACCTAAGAGGTAGCTCTGGAGTTAAGTATTAAAACCACTACAAAATACTACTTTCCTGAGCAGTTTTGTCATAAGACATCTGGTATACACAGAGAAATAATAGAAGGCATCATCTTGCACCTACCCACCATGATGTAACTTTCTACTGACCTTTAGTCAGAATAAAATATTAAGTGATGAAAACAACAATAAATTAAAAAGCTAACTTCTGTAATTTTATAAACAAATTCCTCTAAATAATGAGTTCATTCCACAACCTACAAAAGCACAACTAAAGATTTCATTAAAAAAATATATTGACATAATAAACAAAAAAAAATCTTTATACTCCCTTTGATTACAAAGCAAAAGCACCTCAAATATCATTATTTTCCTAAGCACTGAATCTTAATACTCATTAAGTTTATCTTTTGTCAAAAATTCAGGCAAAACTACTGCTTTTAATTTCAGTGCTGCTTGACCTATATGCTTGTAGACATATTTAGGTAGTCTGAAAACATCCTACATAGTTATTAGCTGACTAATGAAAAAAGCTAATAATGGAAACTTCAATTCTTCAGACTAGAAATCATCATCCTGGTTGTAAGCAGAACAGGCAAGTATTCCATATAATCGATACAACTAAAACTCAGCACATTTGGTGTTAAATTTCAGGAATTTCTTAAAAAAGACTCTAAAACAATAAACAGATTTGTCTTACCTTTTGGGTACAAAGCAACTTCAATTTATTAAGAGAACTAGGGTAAGTAGATAATAAAGAAGATGGGAAAGTCAAACAATAAAAACCTGTTCTTCATTTTTTAACAGTTACAATTTTGCAAGCCTCCTTAGTTCTTGTAGCCACAGCAGCATTACTTAATGCATGAACAACACAAGCAATAGAAAAAAAACAGAATTTTTATTAGTAAAAGACTTACCAAGAAGGGCAGACATGTTCTGAAATATTCTCAGGAGCTCAGGTGTAAGACATGGACTATTCTCCAATGTCACTAACCTAAGAATAGATTAGGCAAAGTATTTTACACACTCTATGAATAACATTGTGCAATCATTTTGACAGATGAAAAACATTGTAACTTCTAGTAACTATATGATACTTAAATAATGTGGAACAATTACTTGAAGTATATTTCAAGTGCAGCAGTAGTCCTTACAACACACCCATCAGTATAGGCATGGGTCTTGCTAAGGTAAGAAAAGAAAGAAAAACATGCTAGTGTCTTTTTGTATGGGCAACATAATCTCCAGAGAAGGTGGGTAGAGAGGAATATTCATGCTGTAAAGGACAACACATGTAGTGCTTTACACCTCAAAGGAGCAGCTGTGGTGGCAACCAGCTCAAACCTTTAGTTGTTTGTTGGTTTTTTTTTAAGGTCTGAAATGATGCCTTGATTACCACACATAAAAGCATAACTATATGTTCAGTATTGTTTGCAACAATTTAAAATTCCTGAGGTTTGAAAACAGTAGCTATAAATTAAATTCATACTTAGAACCACAGCAGCATATCCAGTTTGTTCTCAGATCTTAGGTGTGGGATTACCGTATTTAAATAACAATTCCAATTATGTAAAGTATCTTAGCTGTTCTGCTCTTGGTTCAAGAAGCCATTAGAGTCCCAACTGTCTCTGGCAGCTCGAACCAGATTCCTCTGATGCTTTAGGACGTCTTAAAAATATCATTCTTCTGCATAGGCATCAGAATAACAACCTCAAGTTCAGTATTATTAAGATATAAAACTTCTGAACTGATACATTAAAAAGGTCCCTGTCTTAAATTTTGTGAGCATCTTGCACTTTGACTTGCCCCACCACAACCGGCATTATAAAACTTTGTTTTACTGCACACAGAACAGATCATTTGTAGGTTAAGTATTCGTAATTCAAATGCCCATCTACAATTTAGACTAGAGGAATCCCTCACTATTTCAAGACAAACTCAATATATTCCTATTCTGCAGGAAAGATGTGCTGAATTTGGTCCAGGTACAGTTTCCTCCTACAGTGTCAGCTGCATCAGAAACAAACAAATTAGACTCATGGCAAACCGACCACAGTGCCACTTCTTGTCTTATGTTCAGTCATCAAATAGCCTGAGATCTGGAAGGTAACTTCTACACTTTATCCTTGTAAATTTGCCATCTCTTCCAACAACTAGCTCTGAGAATCATTGGGTCATTGTGCTCCCAAAGTCAAGCGCATCAAATTGTTGGTTTAGCACCCACATTACAACGAGTCTAGACTTTTTGTCTTGCTGGTGCTAGAACTGCACCCCACTATCAATTGCCTGAAAATGGATTACCTACTCGGTTATTTTCGTGTTTCTTTTATTAAGTTCCTAATCTCATCTCTTCTGAGAAAAGATATGATATAGATGATGTCAAGCTAAGATAACAAGAACATACAATACAGCCAAAGCTTTTTTTAAAATCTTTTTTTCTCCTGGGGATACAAAAATAACATTTTAAAAATTAGAAGCTGATACAGAACATTCTTACCACAACTCTAAACCATCTTCTAGAAGATAGACATGTGGAGGCTGAGAAACATCCGTACTTAGCTGAATAACTGGAAGTAGAAAAGGATAGAGATTTTTGCTGTCTGCTCCCAGTCCCTAAAAAAGTAAATTAAAAAATGTTAAATACTTCAAAATCCTCAAATCAAGCATTTTGAGAATAGCATTGAAAGACATCTGTGATGCTGTTCTATTTGCATAGTGTAAACATCCATTCAAGAAATCGAAGGTTGAACTTGCATCCATTCCATACAACAAAACAGTGTGATACTCCTGAGCTTTCTCTCAACATATCTTGAGAAAATTACTTAACTTTTTTGAAAACTGGCTGTTTATCAATGGTCTGCAAGAAAAAATGATAAACAATACACATTTCTAAAAACATTCACTGGTCATACTCTTCTGGGAAAAAAGTCAGAGCTCAAATACTAAATGACTAAATGCTGAATAAAATGTTTTAAAGATGAAGAAAAGAATTATTCTTTGGACCTTACCACACACCAAATCTTTTGACATATTCCAAGAATCAGGAGAAGGGTTAATTTTCATTGCTACGCAAAGATTCACAGACTGATGACTGATTTATTTTTTTAAATGATCCATGAGCTATACACAAAGATGTCTTCCCAAGAATGCAGAGTAAAGAATTTTTTCAGCACTTAATAAGAAAACCCAATTTTTAAAAATAAGCTAAAGATAACAGTTGTAAAAAGTAATCATAAGTTAAAACTAATCATAAAAGCAATGGAATTCTTAAATTGGGAACTACTGCAGTGTAATATTGTAATATTACTACTTAGGAGAACTGGGGCTAGTTGAATGCTGCTTTTGCATAATTACTATATTTGGAAACTGTTAAGTTTAAAATTATTTTATGTTTCTAAGTTAAGTCTTATTTGGGGAATTATTTATTTAAATAAACTTGTCTTAAAAGAAAGAGAATGTTCCATGAATAAGTCTAATCTCTTTGCATCCACCTGTACTTTAGGCCTCCACAGGGGCTAGTAACAAGAAGCTCCGTAATTTCTTTATTGTGAAAATATATTTGCTCTTTGTTTGAACTAACTCCACTTTTAAGAAAACCCTAATTTTTCCTTTAGTTGTAACTAGTCATACCCCTTCCACTTTCTCTCCACTGTTATAGTCTACAACACTATCCTCTTAGTCATGTTTTTTCCACAAGAGCAAGATTGCCTGCATATTCAGTCTGTTGCTGTACAGACACTGCTCTACATTCTAGGAGCACTTCTCTGGATCTTTGCTATTCCTACAACATCTTTTTTGAGAGGTAGTGGGGTTGGAGAAAGTGGGATGACATATAATCCATATTAAGTGCTTAATAGCACTTAGTAGCAGGCAATATAACCACACATTGTTTTATTTGTCAATCTTTTCTCAGGAACATACTACATTTTATTTGCATTTTTACTGCAAACAGCAGAGATATTTCTAAATATTTCAAGTTCAAGAATTATTTAATTATAACAAGATCTTTTCCTTCACTGATAAAAAATTCAGTTTATCTCTGGATAAAGCAAGCAGTTAATAATTTCTACAGGCTTTCAAAATTCTCTGGCAAGGTATTACAGTAAGCCTCTAGAGGAATTAAGGAATTTATTGTACATGTATAGAATAACAGGAAAGAGACAGGCTACCATCAAGAATCAAAACCACCCAAGCAGATCATCTTGAGTGGCATCAAACGGCACATACAGGACCACCAGATGATCAGGCCCAGTCAGAATGGGTTTATGAAAGGCAGGCCCTGTTTGATCGACAAGGTGACCTGCTTAGTGGATGAGGGAAAGGCTGTGGATGTTGTCTATCTGGACTTCAGCAAAGCTTTTGACACCATTTCCCACAGCATTCTGCTGGAGAAACTGGCTGCTCATGGCTTGGACGGGCATACACTTCACTGAGTAAAAAACCTGTCTGGATGGCTGGGCCCAAAGAGTTGTGGTGAATGGAGTTACACCCAGTTGGTGGCCAGTCACAAGTGGTGTTCCCCAGGGCTGGGGACAGTTCTCTTTAATATCTTTATCTGGATGAAGGGATCGAGTGCACCCTCAGTAAGTTTGCAGATGACACCACATTGGGCGGGAGTGTTGATCTGCTGGAAGGTAGGAAGGCTCTACAGAGGGATCTGGACAGGTTGGATCGATGGGCTGAGGTCAGCTGTATGAGGTTCAACAAGGCTCAGCGCTAGGTCCTGCACTTGGGTCACAACAACCCCATGCAACGCTACAGGCTTGGGCAAGAGTGGCTGGAAAGCTGCCTGGTGGGAAAGGACCTGGGGGTGCTGGCTGACATTCAGCTGAGTATGAGCCAGCAGTGTGCCCAGGTGGCCAAGAAGGCCAACAGCATCCTGGCTTGTAACAAAACTAGTGTGGCCAGCAGGACCAGGGAAGAGATTGCACCCCTGTACTCGGCACTGGTGAGGCCACACCTCAAGTACTGTGTTCAGTGTTGGGCCCCTCACAAGAAAGACATTGGGGTGCTGGAGCATGTCCAGAGAAGAGCCACGAAGCTGGTGAAGGGTCTAGAGCACAAGTCTTAAGAGGAGCAGCTGAGGGAACTGGGGTTGTTTAGCCTGGACAAAAGGAGGCTGAGGGGAGACCTTATCGCTCTCTACAACTACCTAACAGGAGGTTGTAGCCAGGTGGGTGTTGGTCTCTTCTCCCAAGTAACAAGTGATAGGACAAGAGGAAACAGCCTCAAGTTTGTGCCAGGGGAGGTTTAGATTGGATATTTACGAAAAATTCCTTCACCAAAAGGTTTGTCAAGCACTAGAATAGGCTGCCCAGGGAAGTGGTTGAGTCACCATCCCTGGAGGTCTTTAAAAGATGTGTAGATGTGGTGCTTAGGGACATGGTTTAGTGGCTGGACTTGGCAGTGCTAGGTTAACAGCTGGACTTGATCTTAAGAATCTTTTCTTACCAAAATGATTCTGTAAGTCTAAAAGGTCAAAACTAGTTTATCAGACTACAGATTACCAGCAACTTCCATTTAGATACAATGTTGGTCAATATAGCTATTAATGTTATACGGCAAAATCTAGGACCAAAAGTTATCTATATTTCTTTAGTTGTGAGAACATACATTAATTTTGCCTAAATATATACACACACACACATATATACACAGAACGTGTAGGCGTGTCTGAGAAAGAACTGTAGGAGATAGGAACTGTAGGAGGCACTGGAACAGGTTGCCCAGAGAGGTTGTGGAGGCCCCATCCCTGGAAGTGTTCAAGGCCAGGTTGGATGGGGCTTTGGGCCACGTGGTCTAGTGGAGGGGGTGCCCGCCCGCAGCCGAGTCTAGTGGAGGGTGTCCCTGCCCGCAGCAGAGGGGTTGGAACTAGATGATCTCTGAGGTGCCTTCCAACCCTAACCATTCTATGATTCTATGATACCGACAACACTTATGTGATTCTGGCCCCTTACCTGGACAAGATGGATTAGGGTGGTTAGAATGGCACATCGTAGCATATTGTGCTCCTCACTTTGTTTCCAAAGGAGTGGTAAATACTGAACCAAACATCCTACATACGGCCGTATCTGAAGTTGAGAACACAAATTTATTTCTTAACGTTGTGAAACAAGGCCATTACTTTTTCCCAAGCACAATTTCTGAAATATTTAAGATAATATTTAATATAGAATTTCCTTTAATTTACTCATCTCTCCTCTTCCTAAAACACCACATTCCATACTCTGTGATGAAGTAACTTCTGACTGCACAGTAGTTTGAAAAGAATGTATTTCTTATAACATTTGTGCATAGCAATCAGGTTTAAGTAAACAGAATGCAAAAAAATGCTTCATTTTGTAACCAGAGATATTTTCATATTAATATATTCTCCACTTAAGACAGAATTCCTAAATAATGGCATCCTTTAAGACGACCAGAAACAGTCCCAGTAAAAGAAAAAAAAAATGCTGAATAACCTCTGAAGTTACCCATCCTTTAAGCAGGGGCTGGACTACATAACCTCCAGAGGTTTGTCCCAAACTAAATATTTTTGTAATGTTCTACAATACTAAAAGGTTAATCTATTTGTCTTCTAAAGTATTTAATTAAGAATTAACCCAAACAGATTCAAAAGTTCTTTCTCAACTTGTTTTTTCTGCTGCTTCTCTAGCTGATCTAAAATGCAGGGAAATCTGCTGTTGTGTTGACTTTTCCTACAAAGGGCAATTAGTAAAGCCCCATTTGGCTCTCAGGCAGGATTACTTGTAGAAAGAGGAGAGCTCAAAACTGTGCATTATCTCTGTCCTTAGTACTGTAATACCAAAAAAACCCCCCCAAACCTGAGATAAAAGCAGTCAACAATTTATTTTTTAATTCTGCAAAAACATCTTCAATTTCTTTATGTATAAGCTAAAGAATATACTTTAACACTAAAGAGGAAGTACTCAAAATTCATAATGTGAACTTGAAACTTTTCATGCAGTTGACTGCTGCTGAGAGGCAATCGTGATCCATATCAGTGCCAATGAAAGATTACAAATTTAACTGCACGGTTCCTAGAAGTATGAAGCATTTTGTCCCCCAAAACATCTCCTTTAATATATAACATTTAATAAAATACTTGTTCAAATATAAGATGAGACAATTAGAATAAATTACAATTAAAAAAGAAAATTGCAAGAAAAGCAATAGATAAACAGTGAAAGTCTTTCTGGAGTCTAAAAGATGAGTTAATAAAAAATACAAAGTAAATAACAAAAAGAAGTAGTAACTGAGCAAGAACATTTTACGCAAAAGATGAGAACTGAAAAGTGAAAAGAGAGCCAAGTAATGCAAAGAATGGAGGCATCTATCATAACAATAACCAGTCTATTAATCGATGACATTTTTCTACTATTTTTGTATAAGCCAAAAACATCAAGCCCTCCTCTGCATTCTTAGTACAAAGCTAACACTGCAATCTATAAAAAAATACCTGCATATTGACTCTTTCAATCACACAAGACAGAACATGAAGAACATGCATTTTGGTGTCACATTGTGTTACTTCCTGAAGTAGCTGAAAGAGCAGTGTAAACATGGATTCCAGATACTAAAAGAAAAACAAACTACAGATTAGACCATCAAAAATACAATTGATTACATCAATTGGCGATTTTCCCTGTACACTTACAACTGTAAGACATCTATGAAACTTGAAGGACACTTACCGAGTGTACAAAATGTTACTTTTTCATTTGGAAAAATGCTTATTAGCCAAACATTGCCTCAACAGGATAAAATCTCCTCAGATATGCTCTTATATAACAGCTCAAATGTAATCAGTTTAAATATATAATTTTCACGTTTTGCTAAGTGCAAACATGATTTCACAGATAAAATACTATAACCTGAAGACCACTTCTCAGGCGGAGCACTTTCTTAGAGTCAAAGCAAAGGTACAGTTTTCCATCTTTTCGGTCAGTAGATAAAATTTATATATTGAATTGAAAAAGACATCTTAAACAATTCCAATGTTTACAGTTTAGAAGCACTCTCCATTTTTGTTTTGTTTGTTCTCAAGAGAGTTGCAGTTACTGTGGAAGTCATAATCAAATGAGAAGAAAAAGCACCTGCTAAGCATGAGTAATCAAAATAAATCTTTGCTGTATTTATAGCTAACATTTCATTGTTTATTTAATGACAACAGTAATGACCACTGTAAAGAACACAAACATAGGAGACTAATAAAGTCTATGTTTTTAAGGCACTGTTTTAACCGCATATTTATATTTATTATTTGTGTGAAACAGTAGGTTGGAAAGTACTCTGTGAAACAGGCATACTGGAAAGTCACACTGGTGCGGAGACATATTTTTTAAAGACAGCATTCATATTGTCTTAGCCTGAAGAAACTTAGCATCTGGTAACACATAGTACATATAGTACTACACACAATGCTAGGAAGCTGTAATAGTCATAATACTAAAAGGTTTTTAATTGTCTGTCTGTATATTGCACCTTAGCAACCTCAAAAGCAGCAGTACGAGTCTTTACATGTTTTGGCCTATGAAGACTTAAAAAACACCCCCCCAAAACCAAAACACAGACACACACACATTGATTACTAAATAGTGTGGTTTAAAATGAAATTGGAAATTATTTTTTCCTGCTTTCCTCTATGGATCTACCTGCTCATGAGAATATACCCATATAAACGCTCTTACCGGTAAGAACTGGTCGGTGCTGAACTCAAAGTCATCTACAGGTAAACAACCATTAAGGAAAAACAATACAGACTGCAGATGGATACAAGACTCAAATAAGAAAATATTCCATGGATATGCAAAAATTATAATGTGAAGAATTTGGTAGTATGTTTAAAGTTGTTTATGTTACAGTAACTCTGAATTAGGAGCTAATCACACATCTTTGCCAATAAAAGGATATTTAACTTCAGTGTCGTAGCTGTCTCGATACGGACCTGAAAGACAAAAGTTAAGAAGCATCGCAAACACATCCATTAAACGTTTTGGTTATCAACATAGTATCTGACAATATGAAACCAGTTGCTGTTTAGCAATTGAATCATTCTATGTGTTCTGTCATCCTCTAAGAAATTTGGTTAGTTCAATGCAAACATTTTCATTTGCTTTCATTTTAGTATCCTTTACAGTTTATTTGGCATTGCTACAGTGGTACCACCTGGAGAAACTACTCAGCCAAAACCTTCATGAAGATCAAGAAAGAATTAAGCAATGAGATATCTAACCTGCGATGAAACCTCTTACACTAGAAAACGAGTTTCACTTGGGATTATTTCATGGCTTGCTGTCACTCAAGAAGCACAGAATCAAATAAACTTAACAAGCTAGCATGTTCTTCCCTGGTAGATGTTCAGATGCTTAGAAAGCACTAAATGAAAACAGTTACAAAATTGATACAGGAACACATCCTGCTCTGCTAAAGCTGTCTGGAATCACAGAAATATCTGTTATAACTGCCAATTACTAATATTTAACTAACAAACTAGCTAGGTTTATTTGTTTTATTTGTTGGCTGCTAGGTCTGTTTAAAAATAAAAACAAAAGAAACAATTGCAAAACCAGCTTCTCAGATAAACCTCACCTACTGGTAAACTGAAGTTGTAGCTTAAAACTACAGAATTGTACTTAACCAGCTTAGCAACCAATGCCATTTATCATGTTCTGTTAGCAGATACCTATGTTGGTGCTTAAATAATACTGTGTGCTGCAGGGACTGCTCACAGAATAACCCTGGTTTATCTACACAAAGTGTTCATTTGTTTATAAATTATTTATCTCAAGACGTCACAACTTTCTTACACAAAACAGACTGTTGCTGCTGCCATTCTTTTTCCACCTACTGAAAGTTTTAAGGGCTCGTTTCACGTCTTTGACCTTACTGATCTGCATCTCCACAATTAAACACCCCCACAACAGATTATCTTTTGCAAGACACAACAGACTTCAAGGTGTGATGTTATGTTCTCAACCAAGTTTACGTAACGTATGGTATTTATGTTTTGCCTGTGTTTACAGAACAAATGTGTAATCCAAAACATTACTTATACTTACCACTAAGTCCTGGTCTTGAAGCAAGTTACGAATTGCCTCATATAACATAGGTCTCAAGTCTGATTTGAATTTTACAGAAATCCACTGTCCAATCAGCCAAATTACTCGTCGGCGTATTGGTTTATATCTTTAAAAGTGGGGAAAAAAAATTGTACTCTTTAACTCATTATACATGATGTTCTAGAATAGTTTGATGAAAAAGAAATCTAAGAATCACTAGGAAAGCATTATTCCCTAAAACAATCATTAAAAGACTTAGTTTGCCAAGATCAACTTTAGAGCTTTAATGAAGAAATCTTTTTCATCAAAATTCTTCACTAGAAGGCTCTGGAAACACCAACTTAGTCTAAAAAAGGATACGTTTCATCCTAAATGAATGAACGTTGAAGGTCTCACCAGAGATAGCTTATTCTGCACATAGCACAACGATAAAATCCCCTAAAAATAAATCTTATATTTATTACTGCCATCATGGCATCTGCTGCTTTCACCACACTTTCCAGCAATTTCCTTGACATTCCTTTTATGCTCAAAATTTTAGGCCAGATACAATTTAAAAATGCAAACTTAAGTATGGCATTACAGCAACTGCCCAAATATTTCATGTCATCAGTCTAAAATTACTCTCAGAAAGAACTGACATTAGATAATCTCGCACTACTGTGGCAACAAGGGTACAAACCAAACAGCTTTGGAGTCAATGGGAAGAAGTAACAACCAGAACAACGAGCTGAATTGCCCAACATAAAGCATTCTGTAAAGCTGCTACTTTTTCTCATTGATTATAAAAGTTGCTCAGGAAGAATAGCTTAGATTTAATAGCTTGCAGACATATAAAGTTTGGCAAGATGAACCCTATTCACAGAAATTTAAGTAACAAATTATTTTGCCTTGTAATCCTAAATGTATTTTTCATTTGATGAACTTCTGCCTTGTAAGCCATCAAGACAGTAATTTAAACTGAAGTTACAGAAGCTTCTTTACATTTAATAAATGTGATTTATTAAACATTCCCATAACCGTAAGATAATTAACAAATCATACCTTCACAGAACACGGAGGTTGTGAAAGTAGCATGCATACAGCAATTCATTAGACTGGAACACAAAGCTACTGAGGAATAACATTCCAGTGTTGTTTGAGATTTATTGGGTGGCAGTGAATCATTAACAAACCATGATGAAGCTTGACTTCCACAAGATGTTACCTTACTAACACAGTCTTCTATTTGTTCAAGAAACTCTGATGGTACAACTTTTTCTATTCCTAGAATGCTCGTGCCTTATAGGTAAACTTGTAAAAATCAGCATATTAAAAATCTAAGAGTTTTTTCTTGAGATTGGATAGTTTTCAAACCTCTATCACAGAAAGAAAAGTTTTAAATGACAGAAGTACATAATTGTCTACTGACAGCAAGGATTCTCAGGTCTGGTGGTATATGTTGTACAATACATCTATCTCACTTGCATCTTTATATTCTTTCTTTCTCTCTGGTGAAGAAAAGTTAGGATGCATTGGGGTTTTTGAGGTGTGTGTGTTTGGGTTTTGCTTTTTTTTTTTTTAAAAGGACTTAAGTTTCTAGAAATTCTTCTGCTCACAGGTGCTCATTTTTGAGGTCCTACCTTTCTACATTCACTACTTCTGGGAAAAGCTCAACTCTTAGAACATCATTACCTTTTATGCTAAGAGCACACATTGACTAAGTATAAGCAGATTGAACCTGATGGACCTAAAGCTCACATGGGAAGAGTGACCATATTCCAACACGGGAAAAATGACTATATTTCAACATAAGGCAGTTTCTGTTGCAATAGTCATAAGACAGTAGCTTTAAGCAGTTTGAACAGTATTCAGACATTGAAATCAAAAGTATCTTTCTTGATACCAAAATACTTAGTATCACATTGGTACTTTCTCTCTCAGCA